ATATCCTAATCATATAATATAATATAATGTAATATAATAACATATTAATATTATTATTAATATTATTATTATAATATTATTATTATCATCAGTATTATTTCATAATTATCATATTATAAAAATGACATTCTATAGCTAATGTTATAATTACAGTTTTTAATTTTCAACTCTGAACCCTAACCCTACGAAAATCAACAGAATAAGAGTTTGGACATTTTATTTGTTAAATTTCGAGTCATGTTAACATTCTTTACCAATAAACAGGAGAGCTCAGAGAGGAGAGAAATGCCAGCCACCAGCATCATACCAGTATGGTTGATATAGCCACAAAGACTCCCTATTCCCACCATCAAATAAAACATAGAATAAATAAGTCACCTCAAAATAACACATAAAATATTTTTCCCTAACATCTTTTCTTTCAAAATAAGTCTCTCAAACTGGCCATTGTCTCTGTAAAGCAGTTTAAATTGAATTGACAGGACATAATGTAAAGTATCTCTTACATAATAGACGTGTTTGGGCCCTGTGGACTGGTGACTGGTCACTGGTGACATCTGGGAGAAACTCCAGCCCCCCCCAGCCTTACAGGGAGAAAATGGAGTAGAAACAGGCTACTGTCAGCTGATGGTTTTCTTTCTGTAAACAAATGCCTGTATATGAGTTTAGTAGTGAAATATTAGTCAGTCATCAATCACTAAAACAGTCAGACAACAGCCTGGTGCCCAACGCAGCTCGAGTTCAAATTTGAAAACAATAGAAAAAGGGAAGAGGAAAAAAGTCTATTAGTCTGTGTGGGGGAAATATATATATACATTTCAATATCTATCTCTTATTCTCTTAAACGGACTCAGACTTTTGCTTCAGAATTTCCACAACATCTGTTAAAGAATTCTACATGCTGAAGTACGCTGTCTGTAAAATATTGAGGAATCTGGGTTTATTTTCAATTCATTTGATCCAATATTTCTATAGATTTACAACCTAAATTGGGCACAGCTGCTGGTTGTGGTTCTGACTCACATGATGTCACAGTGCAGCCCCGACTACTGCTCTCAATATCACCCACCCCAAAATGAAACTGAACCAAAACGAAGCTCTCACTGTCAGTAACTGGCCCGTGTTTGTTTCTGTGGACACATCTTTGAACTGGCTCTAGTTATAATGAACAAGTTCAAACATCAGTTCACAGAGGTTAAAAATCAACAGTTCACATTCAAAGCTCGCCGTTTCTATTTTGAACAACTTTAAAGTTAAGAAAGGAGAAATGATAGTGTAGTGTCTTTTGGATGAAATCAGTTGTACTAGACCTTAAACTACATGACTAAAAGCAGACGGGTGATGCTTCAGCTCCGCCCTTCGGAAGTTAAAAGTCTCTGAGACTGTACAATCAGACTTGTTTTTGAAGCACAGGTGGTCATCATTTACCCACTGTTGGACTATTTTGCGGACGGCTGGTAAAATCAAACGAACAATCCTAAACAAACGGGCTGTTTTCAGCTTCTCGGCCTTTTGGAGCACGGCTGCTGGTCTGCAACTCAGGACGAGATGTTCCTGACACATGAGGGAGGAAGGCCGCTATTGGCTGGCCTCCGTGTTGCCAGCTTTCATCATATGGAATGCAGCAGTATCTCATTTGCATGATTCACTGTGTTGTTCAGCATGCCTGTTATTGCTGTAGAAAACTGGTCTCTGACTGGGGACTTGGTTTGGCGTCCATCGTTTGATAGACTCGGTGTGGTTTAATCCAGACACTCTTTGGCAGAGTGCAGGAGGAGCAACCAGGTATTTCTGGAGGTGGTGAGTGACGAGCTGCAGCTGTGACCCGACCCTCACATACCAGGCGGGGGGGGTGTGGGTGGGGGGGCTACAGGAAGGAGCAGGACTGGCAAAGCCAAGGCCAGTTCCTTGACATCGTCTCTCTGATGCTCCGCCCCATAACTGTATGATGAAAGTTTTACGCAATACTTTTCAGAATTGTTCCCGTTTTCTCATAGTTTCAAAATGTCCCTTTATTTAAGCCATGTCCCGATTTTCGTTCGGTGCACCTGGCATTAGCTGCCGTGGCATCCGGCTCCTAGCCCCTGTTCTGGGTTGTTGCAGTTCAAGGCCTTCCTCCACTCCACAAACCAGTTTCGATCAGTTTGGCGTTGAGCTCGAGGAGGGCCGAGGTGAAGAGTCTGGGTCGCCTTTAGTAAGACGACATGCATGGACTGGTGCAGGGGTGAGCTCACTCTTAATTTCAGCTCATCCCAGAGCTTACGGATATCTTCTTTGAGGTCAGTGGTTTGCTTCTCTGGGTTGTCCCCATCAAGAGAGGCTAAGCCAGCCATTCCAGGCCAGCCAAAACATTAGAGTGGCTATTTGAATCACACGGTAATGCCAGGTAAGAAGTAACGGAGGTGAAAGAACCAGGAAAAACCTGTGAATGAGGAGATACTGAAACAAATGACAAGAGGCACAGACGTTGAGATGGGCAATGGACAGGGTAGACACAGGAAGGGATGTGACAGACTGCGAGGATCTGGCAGGGTATGAAAGAAATGGGTTCATGTAAGAAGAAGAATTTCTGAACCCAGAACAGGTGACCCAGGGACCACAGGGGATGAGAGTCGATCGCAGAACAGGAATAAAGTGATATGGAGAAGTAAGGGGAGACGCAGGAAATATGGAAAGACACCAGAATAACACACAGGAAACTCATTTACTGGGAAACAGAACACCTTTCCCACAATAAAGTTTCGAGAAGAGTCCTGAGAGGGATGGAGTCCAGACTGAAGAGGGGACTCAAGAGCAGGCAGGCATGGCTGAGCAGCACAAAGGCGAGTCTGGATCTGGAGAAACTTCCGGGTTTTAAGTAACCCGAACAACAAGAGACAAGGTGACTTAAAGCTAGATGTGAAGTGTACTGATAATTCCACGAAATCAAACCCTCTGGGACATCTGTAGGAGGCTTGGGGGCACCATCACAGGTAATCATCCAGCTAGGAATGAAGGTTCTGAGCTCCTAAAATAAAAGCTCACTAATGTGATTATACGCTTCAAGTGCACGGCGAGCCTCTCAGAAACTGGACTACCATTAGTACCTGCAAACCAACCTGAGCCATATGCATGAATCCAGGACTGCCCCAGGGACACATGGCTGAATTTGAATGACAACGGTGACATGTTACCAAGACGAGACACCTAAGAAAGGCAGCAGGGTCAGCCTACATGTGAACACACGCCGGTGTTCAATGGTCATCGATTGGGAGGACCTGCGTAATAAAGACACTGAGCCTTTGTCAGTTCTACCTCCCAAGAGGGGAAATCTGCTCAGTCTCTGACTGCATCCTTTTGTATATATATATGTATATATGTATAGACATGTACATATGTATATGCCTTTGTTTTTGTTTTTTTTGCTTATGGAGCCTGTAACTAAAATAATTTCTCTCTGGGATTATTAAAGTATTTCTGATTCTGATTCTGATTCTGAAGACAGCCCCGGCACCCAGGACATCCCACTAGGATGCCGTCAGCACCGGGATCTCCTGAAGCATTTCAACAGCTTTGGGGCCAGCCAGCACATCCTCAGGAGCTTCTACCACTCCTTCACTCAGTCTCCTTACCTTCTCCATCTTCTCTTGTATACCACTCCGTGAGTACTCCAGTACTCCTCCGGTGCCCCTGGAGTCCAGCCTCGCACAAAGAGTCCCCTTCTCCAGCCTCCCTGACTCCGGCATCCACCAGGAAGTGGACAGCTGTCGGCCCACAGCTCTGGAAGCAGTGGAGGTCCTGAACACGGTGCTCTTTGTCTGCTCCTGAATAAAGTGTGGCTGCAGTCCCCTCTTTCATTCGTTAACCTGCGTGCTCACTTCACTGTTTAACGCTAACTTTGTGGCTGACATGATAACAACTTCTTGTGGAATTGCTGCTGTTTGTAGTGTGTTTTTATCCTACAGATCCTGTGTACCTAACCCACAATCTGGTTTATTTTCCCTACGTTGATGCAGCAACTGGCTACCTAGTTTTTGGCTGTTGTTTCAAGCTATCTACTTTCCTCTGTGTGACTTTTGTTTTCATTTCTGGTTTTGTTTTTTTCACAAGTGCTGGAAACTATGATGAGAACACTGGTGCTGTGGTTTTCCTTACACCAAATGAACCGTGTCTCTGAATACAGTTTTAACAGTAGAAAAAAATAGATTTAAAAGAGATATTTGATACCGGCTAACGGTTAGATTGCTCTTATTGAGAGTCACCTTAAGTCTCTGTGGTATAAAACCTATCAACAAAGACAGATACAAATTTGAATGAAGGGGACATTTTCCATAGAAGGTCTGGTTGGAATTGGGTCTGAAACAAATGTCCACAGTTCATTTGGGAGCCACGAATAAGATGCCCAGGAGGCCTCAAAGGCTGCCAGTGTACTGGAAAGCTGGGTAACCTGCGATTGATGGCAAGACAGCGTCCACTCAGATGACACCGGTGAATCTGTGAATCTGCTATAGTTTCTGGCTTCAAAATAATTTGACCCAACTCAGACAAGAACATCCAGAGATGGGTACATTGTTTTAAACTTCAAACACAACCTGCCGCACTTGTTTATAGGCAAGCTAAATTCATTTGTACAGCACAGTTTGTGTACAGGACAGTTGAAACCGCTTGAAACAAAATGCCACTAACAGAGTGACGCCTCGATAGCTGGACCTCTGTCGTCCTCAAAAAGCCTTTCATAGAGTTCGATGAAAGTCCGCAGTTAGCTGGTTGCTCTATCAATATCCCACAGACCTCTCAATTTAGAAACATGCTCTCATACTAGTGTACTACTTCCCGTAGCTCATTGAAAACATAGTCCTGTGTAGAGGTGTGGACTATTGTCAAAAATAAAGCATAGCATATGAACGTAGCTATGCCTTATGAGTGCCTCATATCTAAGATACAATTCTTTATAAGGAGCAGTTTCCGACAGCTCTTGCTATCAGAACCAGGTGTTAGAATGCCTGATGTCAAATTCCTGGCATACCCTGGTGTGTCAGACTAAAGTATAAAAGAGCATAGGGTGTAGCTGTGAGCTCCAGCATCCACACTACCATTTGCTAACGAGGCAAAAGAGTATTCACTGATCCGGTCCCTGATATGATCAGCAGCAGCTCACGGAGAGACATGCGTCTGTTTTCCATCCCCATCTGCGGTCTCCTCCTCCTCATAAACCTACAGTTGTCCAGCACGTATCCCACCGGCAAGGGCCTGACTGACACCGATATGGACATTTTAAAGGTAAGTCTGACACCCTGAAACGGGAGCTTAGAAACTTCAGTTCTGCTACTTTTCCAAGAGGCCTTGTGGAATTGTTCAGAACGTCCACAAAGAGTGAGGGAAAATGTTAGAGATGCTGGGCGATAAGTGAAAAAGTCTGACATTAGAAATAACCCCAACGTTGCAGGTCCTCCTGCACAGACTTGAGGAGTCGGCGTCAGAGCAGAGCGCGCTGGACCAGAGAGGCCCGGCGGACATGGACAGTCCCCTCAGCCAAAGCCCGGAAGATGCTGCCGAGGAGCAGCCTCAAATGGGACTAGACGAAGCGGAGATCAGGGAGTTTCTGTCCGCCAAGAACCTGAAGAGCCTCCGCAACGACTCCTCCAGGAGATCCTCCGGCTGCTTCGGCCGGCGGATGGACAGAATAGGCTCAATGAGCTCTCTGGGCTGCAACACCATTGGCAGATACAGTAAGTTACAGTGACTCAACCAGCCTAATGAAGCCCCAGTTACTGCCGTGTGCCATCCTGTTTACCCCACCTTAATCTTCACACTTTTTAAAATGGTTGTTGCGTATTCTTCTCCCGCAGATCCAAAGTGAAGACGAAGTCTTACATCTAAAATCTGGAACTGCGACGTCTGTACCAAAATTTATTTTTATCTGAATACTATTTATTTACTAATATTTATTGGAGATTGTTTTGGCTTCCAATAGTATTTATTTGAAATCCATGTGATACCGTTCTTTATGTACTGTTAAATGTTTGAATAAATGTTTACAATTACTCATCACTGATACCAGTTTTACATGTGACATGTTTTCCACCTTTACCGAACAGACAAGCATCCAAAAAAACACACACAAAAACTCAAGCCACGCAAACCCAACACTGACTTTTCATGTGTTCTAATCAAAGGATTCATCTAGGATCTATTCACAGAGTATCTCGAGAATAACCATGGATCAACCTTTAGAGTTTTCCTCAAGGCATGAATTGGTGAAAGAACTTTACAATATGTCAAAAAAAGAAAGTAAAGTCACCTTTGAATAAATATTAAAGTCTTTACTTGAAAAAACATTTTCATGTGGAGCTATGGATAGACCTAAAAATCTTCCTTTTTTAACCGTTTTATTCAGTTTAGAATAGATACAGTTCTTGTTATGACATAACATGCTTTGGGAACTGAGGATATTAATTGTTGCAGCTTTTCAGAGGAACCTGTATCCACTCTGAAACCCCAGATTTAAGCTCTTTTTGGATAAGAAACAGAAGGGGACACTTTTAGGTCACATTAACTAGATCCTGAGTCTGGTTCTCCAGGCTCCTGAGCCCATGTGGCCTCACAAAGCTGAATCCTAGAGCTTTTAACCTAACAGTACAAATACTAAGCAATAAATCTAATGATTCATTACAAAAGCCTTTTGGTGTTTTTGGTTAAGCCACAAACATTATTTGGTGAGGGTTAGAAACCATTTTCATAGCCTCATGGACAACATTTTGCTTGTTGCTTGGGTTATATGTAAACACGACTTGGTAGAATAAAAGGTTGTGACTGATTTGATTTGAAAAATATCATCACTTGGTTAAGGTTAGAATTCTTTCGAGAAGTCTAGATAACAATCATGATAACAGTTAAAGAATATTCATTTTCCTTTTTGCTTCACTGCCTATTTTGGACTATTTTGCCATGGATTAAATTTTTACACTGTTCCTTTGCATATAACTTTGATCCCTCACCGTACTATTAGATAAGTCGACACATCCATAGCCTGTCCTGACTTTATATGTACAGTCTTACAGATTATGCCATGTTTTTTTAAAGACACAAACTGGGCTATAAAACCAGACCACCACCACATCTGGGCTAGCTAGCTGAGATGCATGAATACAAACTAGCCTGCTCAACGTGCTATGTCAGACCTGGCCCTGGAGTTTTGGATTGCACTCTTCATACTGAAGAGCGTAAATGCAAAAAGAAAGTGTTACTGGGCAGAATAAAGCATTCAGCGGACAGAATGTGGAAGCTCATCCGACCGAGGCCAACAAAAACTCAATATGTCAGACCTTATTATATTTGCAAAATGTACAGAAAATGTCTTCACTAGTTAGAAAAGACAAAACCAAACTATCCATTAAAAAAACAAGGGCTGGTCAGTATAGGGGGTTAGCATAGTCTGTCCCCCGACGGGGAGATACTCGTGTATATTCTACTCTGTGAGTCGCTTTGGATAAAAGCCTTTATGCTAAATACATAAACATAAACATAAGGAGAGTTGGCTGAGGTGAACTTGGGACAGAAAATAGCCACATCGGAGGCCTCCAGCTTTCCTATTCACCACTCAGCCAGATTAGGCTGTTGATAGTTACACATTAATTGGAGCAGCTACTGTTTCCAGCCTCCTTTCCCTGTCTGACCTTTGCTTTCCCAGAAGTTTGCCTGCCTGAAGTTGTTTCCTTTTGTGTAATAAACAAGAGCTGGTAACTCCGACCAGAGCTCCGGCCCCGTGGCTTTCTGATGTCACATTAACTGTCTCTGAGGATCTAAAGATTCAAAGGAGAGATTTGATACTGGCTGAGGGTTAGATAACGTTCCAGGATAAAAGGCAGCTTTCCATGGAAAGGTTTAATCAAAAATATGCTAAATCTTTGTGGTCCACCGCCAGGCAACAAAGACAGATTGATCAAGAAGTCCAGCATTTGAGTGTTTATTGTCTGGTTGAGTTAGATCTAAAACCCGAGCTGGTGGTTTAAACTGTTAGCTCAGAGAGATTCCCTGAACAGAACCAGGTTCTAAAGGCACTTCTGAAGCTGCTGGACTCACCCATAGCTCAGTGATGGCAGTGGGAAGAAATCCATGATTCTCCTCTCTGAAAGAAACTATTTTCTTCGTATATTTAAGGAAAAAAAAAAAGAGTTCATGAAATCATCACTGCTTAGATTTAAAGGTTCTGACTCTTTCTGCCGGAATAACTAAAACAAAAACTTGGAGTATTCGTACTTTCATCTGTATGTGATAAATAAGAAGCGGTTTTAGCTTCAGGTAGGGCTTTCTTATCTGATTCATGTTATGTTACAGGCTTCTCTGACAGATACTGCCATTTCATTTTACCAGAAGCCATGTGGTCAAACACTGTAAGCATGAATGTCATCAGAAAGCCCTCCGATGAGACAGATTCTGAGGAAACAGCGTTAATATTTCACTACATCAGAGTGTGAGTCAGGGAGGGAGTGGACTAACCTCGGCTCCAGGACTGAACAGTAACCCTGGTCTGGAGACGCATGCCAACTCCTCAAGAGATCCCAAACGAGAGGAGAGTTGGTTTAAAAAAAACAAAACAGGAAACGACCAGACCAAGACGTGACTTCAGGAGGAGTGACCCTCTTCTGCCGGGGTGGACTACATGGGAAAAGTGGATACTTGGTTATTTTGAACTCAGGCTGTAACAGAGCAGCTAATGTTAAGGACTTTGAAACCTTTATGGTGCTCGGTATTTTGGCTCATGGACGGTAAAACTGTTCAATGTCAAAGTGAAATACCTGTTCTGCCTCATCAAATGCCAGAAAACCCCAGACCCAGGTGGCATTTCAGCAGAATTTGAGAAAGAATTCTGACCTAAAACTGCACCAACATTTCATAAAATGTGCGAGACATAAAAGAGAGGGACATATTTCTCCCCAAAATGGACTCTGCTGCCCTCTGCTAGAACCAAAACACTCAAACAGGCTGTTTTAGTTCAAAACTCTGCATGAATTTGGATTCATTGTGAGTTCAGGGAATAGAAAGTACTTCTTTGTAAGTTAAATAAAGAAGATGGCAGATGGAGGAGACCTGGCTGTGATTCATCCAGGAGCGGCTGCTGTCTGAACGGAGGCGACGTGGCGAGGCGGGGGGGGGGGGGGGGCAGCGTGAAAAAGGCCCGTCACCATGAGTTATGACGAGGTGAGAGCCAGACTTTCCACGCTGTCCTGTCAGATTACAGAGACCTGGTCAAGAAGACAAACCCAGAACATCAGAGATCAGCAGCCTCATTAAACCTAAACCTGCGTTTTTTTGTATTGTTATGTATTTATAAGGAAACAACAGCCAGAAGAAGTCAATACAAACGGTCTAATTCCTCAGCCTTTAACAGTTTCTCCCACTGTGGAGCTCAATCATCTAACTGCTACTGGGTGAGTTCAGGTGGGACTAATGTGGAAAACTGATATTATCATGTTGGATAGCCTGCCCTGACACACGTCTGTCCAATCTCCACCTCTGAAACGGTCCATTTTAATCAGCAGGATTGTTACCTAAGAAAGACTCTAAAACACATTTATACTCTAAACTATTTTTTGCCGGACGTATGAGGGGAATAGAAATAGAAATGCCCAATTTTTTAGCAATGTGGAGCTGAAAAGTGTCAGGAAGCTTTTGGACTCAGAAGATCCCAACCTGAGGACTTTTGATGAAGGAGCGCCCTCTGGTGGAGACGGTCAGACATCTTCTTCAGGTTTCGATCTCTCCGTTACAAGTGGACTACTGCATGTTTCTTTTGAGCTAATTATACCTCCCATCCCTCTAGAGTCACATTTCATACATATTGCACCTTTCGTTATGACCACACTACATTTTCTTATTGTCACCATCCACAAGATCTATCTGTGATGTCCAGATGTTTGGGATGAACTTCCATTGTTTGGTTGTACACATTCACACAGTCTGACCCATTTGCTCAGTTTATCCCCAGACCTGTTCCAGTCCTGTCCCAGACCTGTCCTAGCCCTGTCCCAGTCCCCTATTCCAGCCCTGTCCCAGCCCCCTGTCCCAGTCCCATGTTCCAGTCCTGTCCCATTCCTGTCTCAGCCCATTTCCAGTCCTGTTCCAGCCCCCTATTCCAGTCCTGTTCCGGACCTGTCCCAGTCCTGTTCCAGCCCCCGGTCCCAGTCCTGTTCCAGCCCCCGGTCCCAGTCCTGTTCCAGACCTGTCCCCTGTTCCAGTCCTGTTCCAGACCTGTTCCAGACCTGCCCAGTCCTGTTCCAGACCTGTTCCAGACCTGTCCCAGTCCTGTTCCAATCCTGTCCCAGTCCTGTCCCAGTCCTGTTCCAGACCTGTCCCAGTCCTGTTCCAGTCCTGTCCCAGTCTGGTCCCAGACCTGTCAGCCGCTCTCCTCCCTGTTTTTCAACCTGTCCTGTCAGTGCACGCGCTGTAGAACGCGGGTGACGCAGGGGCGTGCGCGTTCATCACGCGCCTGAAGCCTTTAGTGATCAGGGACCGGGCGGTCCTTCAGTGAGACCGGGAGAGGGCAGGAGGAGGGCCACCGATCCGGGACCCCCCCCGGGAGAGACGCGCGTAACCGGCAGAGTGGAAGCGAGCGGGGACGCGCACGGGAGCAGTTCTGGGAGGATGACGAGCCCCGGCCCGTGTCACACCGCGAGGGACGGGGGGGACCAGGGGGCCGCGGCCCCGGATGAGGCCTGACGGCCGCGGAGGACCCGGACAGCCGCGGGGGGGCCGGGCAGACCGGACCCGGGCGCGCGGACAGGCGCGCGGCGCTCAGGTGGGTGACCCGCTGAGGTCCGCTCAGGGGAGAGAGGGGGGGGGTCTATTTAAGACAGGAAGGCGTAAACATAGTGTTCTTTGGTTCTCCCTCGGGGCTTTCAGAAAGCACGCACAGAAAACAGATCCCAGCTTTGGAGCCATTTGACCTAGTCCTAACTCTGAGACGCAGACAACCCGGGCTGTCCCGGGATATTCCTTTAAACAAGACTGCCATT